GGACACTACTCTCTTTGCGCACTGCTTACTTTCTAATAATAATAATAATGTACATCCAGTGGTTTTTCATAGCACTTTACAACAATATTAATGGATGATACTTTTATAAAAATGCATACATTAAAATAAAAAAAAGATATATATTGTAAAACATTGAACTCTAATAATATAATAAACCATTGTTGATAAATTTAACATACATATATGCTTCAGTCTCCCCAATTAGTAAGGCACTGTGCCTGTGTTATAAGACATGAGACTTTAATAAAGTTCATTACTATTATTATTATTATTATTATTATTATTATTATTATTATTATTATTATTATTATAGGGTTACCCTGATTTTCACTCAACTGCAAGTAGGGTTCTAAAAGTAAATATTATTGCCTTTAAGGAAAGCCTTTAACTCATACTAGTCAAACATTTTGAATCTTTAACAGTCAGATGAATCTTATTCAGTTATGTGAATTTGTGGACATTGAAATCATTTGCTGCTCAGGTTTTGCACTGTTATTAGACCCCTTGTGGAAAATGCCTTATCATTTTTTTCAAATTTTTAGTCTTGGTTTGTGAAAAGAGTCATGTGGGGAACCCTCTGTCAAGTAAAATTGTGCTGATTGTAGTAATTTGGCTATAAGTGCAGGAAAAAATATTATTAATTAGTAATAGCAGGCGGTGTCCTCTGGCAACTTAGGGGGTGTTTACATGACACCAGGGCAACTTTTGCCCCGGAGCGAGTTCACTCTGGTTCCCTCTCATAGCTCTATATTTGTTTACATGATACCACCACAAAATGTCATGCAGGCACGAGTCACCCCAGCGTGAGTTCACCCCGGTTCTTGTACTGGGGCGAGAATTTCACTCTGGTACAAAATCTCACGGCAGTATCATGTAAACGCGAAACGACCACCCATTTGGTAGAGTGGAATGGGTAGCACATGCGTAATGTTTGCGATTTTGAATCACACTTGTATTATTTTTATCAACATGAAGTGTACCTTCAAATAACGAGATATGAAATGACTCAGTCATAATGTAAACCTGATACAAAATCAAAAAGTCATCCCGGTATGAGACTCGCGCCGGTGTGAGTTTTCTCATGTAAACACCTCCTTTCTGTACATGTACTTGTGCCTTTAGTGCCCAATTAAGTGTATTATCACTAGCCTACAAATAATCTGTGTAGTTTACTCAAATAATGCTTGCCTTCTATTTATTCAGCAGATCAGCCTGGTATGGGATGTTGGTGACAGAAAGTCCTCACAAAGCAAACAGAATTAATACATGTTAATTACAAGCCTTAGTCTTGTAAAGTGGTTCCAGGGCTGTCGCTAAGGGCCATAAACCAGACTTTAAATTGGCTACTTTGAGCCCAATACTTGGCTGTTTTGAGAGGAAACGAAACTTTCCACATTTTCAATGTCCCGCTCACTAATTTTACTTACCCTGCAACTTGCAATCTTAGTGACAGCCTTGTGCATGTAACTTTTATATCATCAGCTTATGAAAATGATTTGTTCTTTGGATTTTGTTTTTAAATTTGACTGTAAACACTTCTGGGAGTGAAAGGGCTAAATCAAGAAACCATCAATGTTATACATGTATTAGGCTTTCAGTCTTTTTATTTCTTATCTAAAATTGTTTAAGCTTTTAATTTGAATTATGCTAAATTATACTAAATATTTTCATTTTGGAAGAGACCATTTTGACCCACCTTTACATTAATTTGTGTGTTAGAGTGGCTGTTTTTTATCAAAATTTAACTTCATCAGTTTTCTTGTACACCCTGTACCTTACATGTAAATGCTAATAATTATTTTAAACTATAAATCATCTTAATTTGGTATAATACTAAGTTAAGATGATTTTTTTGGATATTTTGAGAAGACTTTTTTGACCCATTTGAAAAGTTTATGTACACTGTATCTTCTTATTTAAACCTTAGGTGTTGGAAAAAATTTTCGTTTTTTTAATTTTTAATGTAATGACAAAGATGCTAACACAGAAATAAATCATGTTATATTTAGAAAATTCAGTTTTGGAGTATCAGTGTGTTTTGTTTTTTAAAACCTTGTAAGATCACTCTTTACGGGACTAAACTTAAAGAATGCGATTCGTTTTGCAGCTTTTGCAGTTACAACAATGTAGCATACCTGGCGATTTTCATGGGATTTGAAATGTAAAAATAAAGATAGGCAATTTGAAAATTGGTTATGGTAATGCAAAATTGGAAACGGAAAGGGGCCCTATTTTTTAAACTACTACTCCTTTGCGTGTCCGCTTAACGCGTAAAAGGATTGTCTAAATAAGATCTTTACACCAACTTTACGCTTCAGTTACGCTGGTTTAAGTCTCTACTTTAAAGCGTATTTACACCAACTTTACGTTAGCTTAAATCTCTTCTTTACGGCGTATTTACACGAACTTTACGCAGGGCTTAAACAGTCTCTTTACGATACCTTAACGCATACGCGTAAAGGTAAGGTAAAGTTCGGCT